GATGCGGCGGCGCCCTGCAACCCTTCACCGGAAGGGCACGCGACACCGCTGACGACGCCCGCGCCGCGCCGCGCCGGGCCGGGCCGGGCCGCTCCCCAATATTACGTCTCCTCTCGCTCAGGCGCGGAGCCCAGCGGAAGCACACCTTCGAATAAAAATTACTAATCCTGCCGAACATTACGAAAAGGTTATGACGCCTCGCTGTTGTACATGTAATATGATACGCGTAACATTTACAGCGACCACTGCTCTGTACGTAAGCGTACTATTTAACAGTCAGAATCCAAGGACCCATCAACCAGTCGCCCTCAGGTAACCTGGCTTGTGCCGGCCGGTTGTAAACAACACAACGTCGCCACATTCTTCCCATTTACATGAACAATGAAGCAGGTAGCAGATGCGACGCGTTTACGACTGGCCGAGGTGGACTCTTCAGGTGCTCGTTGCCTGTAGGTTACAAACTTAAGAAAATCGGGTCGTATTTTTTTTAACACATTCCACACAACTCATACGACTATGAAAGCGTGCAAACGCTCAACTAATTAAAGCTCAGAATCGTGGCCAACGATGACAAACTTTGATGACCAGTAGCGTTGCTGGAAGTGGATTATGAGCACGTCTTTTTACTTGCGCATGAAGCTTCTTTTCAAAACACCACCCATTCGGCGCGAGGTTTGGAGATCTCACCGGTGCAAACAACGACCTCTTCATTACTACATTTCCCGCTTGGCTCCTCTCCTCTTCTCTCCTCCCCGAGATCCGGGTGCCGAGGATCATGCATGCAGCCGCGGAGAAATGCCCGCGCCCTGAGAACCGCGCCGTGATTCTCAATGAACGCCCGCCGACTTTTAAATGCCTCGCGTATGGACGAACAGCGGATGTGACGCATCAGAAACAAAGGAGGCGAGGGCACGCGTTTTTGTTTTGTTTCTCCGGGCCGGCAGCAGCAGCAGCATCAACGGGTCCCTTCCAGCTGGACCAAGGGTTCGCCTTTGGCACGTCATCGAGCAACCCTAAGCGCTAGGAAGATTATCGTTACGTAAATAACGTCATATTTGGGCGCGTAACTGGAGTCATTAGCGTAGTAAGATAGTTTGCTCGCGAGTTTACGGTTGCCAAATACAAGATCAGCAAGGGTGATCATGAAATACCGCAAGTAAACGAACATT